CTTTCTTGTACATTATGACAGTCACTTTACGACAATATTAAAATGCTCGAATATTACCCTTACTCAATTTATCTCAATTCGAATCAAGTGATACTTATGAGGATATCATGCGAACTAATAAAAAAAATGAATTACATCTATACATATATGTACAAACAATCAAGCTTATAAAAACGTATAAAAATTAAGTAACATGCTATTTTTGCGTAAATCAAATTAACTGAGATTTAAAGTCCCCAAACATATTTATTGTATTAAAAACACACACATATATATATGGAAGATAATACATATGATATTAATAAATAAAATATAACATTATACTTAACGTGGAAAGATTTAATAAAAGGCATATATATATTACAATATTCGTGAAACAGGATAAATAAAATATATAATATATCCATTTTATGCATGTGTTTATAAATATTGCCATTTTCTATTGTAGTTTATAACATATATATGGTACGAAAATTATTTAATATGTAAAATATAAAATAGGTTATAAATAATTTGGGTAATATAATCTAGTATAAAGTCAACATATATATATATATATATATATATATATAAGGAAAAAAATTAGCTTTAAAAAACTAATCCACGGTAATCAAGGTGGAATTATTTTAAAAATAGAAATAACCTAAAACATATGCATTAAAATCTAAAATAAACCCAAATATTATGCATGACGAAAATGGTGATATTTAAAATAAGGCATAAATTAAGAGCATAACGTAATTTACATAAACTAAGACAAGGACTAAAACGATATTTAACCAAACATTATATAACACGCATGTAAAAATGGAAAATAACTAAAAGGTTTCCATAGTGACCATTTTGTAAAACACGCGTAAACTATGGGGGACTTATGATGTAATTTATCCCAAAATTTCCCCTATATATACTACTTATTTTCATATTTTTTCATTTGACACAAAAACTAAGGAAAAAAATTTGAGAGCTCTCTCTCAAAACCCTTGGTCGGTCACTCACCGGCCACCATACCTTGCCTCCGATCATCGTCTGACCTTCTTTCACGATGGTCGAAGCTATAAAATGAACCCCAAAACACCCTAGACCCTCCGATCTACTCCTCTAAATCTATATCCAAGCCTAAAGCACCTTAAAACGCCGTCTAGGCGCCCCGAAAAGCTTCGACCGTTCTTCTTCTCAACACTTCGACGACCGTGAACCGGCCCCGGTTAGACTCTCCTCCTTAGGTAATCTATGAATCTAACCTTTTTATTTTTATTTTTACTTGTTTATTTCGTTACATGCAAAGTGAAAATATTTTTGCTATATATTTTTACATTATTTTCCTTATATTTGAAAGCACATAGATAAAAGCATGCGAAAATAAAAAATAAAAAGGACACCTTTAAAGTTTTTTTTTCTTGTATTGCTCTTTTGAAATCAAGGGGGTCAAACCCCGTTTACATCGCTTCCACTGGATTTATACCCGTTTATACAAGTCTAAATATAGTAAATGATTTTTTATTGGCTATTTTGTTGGTGTGTGCAGGGTTGATAATTTGTTTTCACGTGGGATGGCCGACCTAGTTGGCTCCAAAAGCGGTGACAGCTTACTGGTGGAAATGGCAGGTTGGTGAAAGTTCGATCTGGACCGTTCGATGGGTCCAGATTGAATGGTTGGACTGCAAGACGGCGCTGAGACTTATAAAACCCTAAATAGGTTTAGGTTTTCCCCTTAGGCCTGGATCAGTTCTGGGCCCAATTGCTTGTAATCTGTAAAAAAATAATTATAATAATACATAATAATAATAATAATAATATAATAATAATAATATGATGGAAAAACGAGTGTCGACAGTTGCCCCTGTTTTTCATATTCTTGTATCAACAAGAATAGGGCAAAGAAGAAGAGACAATGCGTTTTTCATCAACTTCAAGGTTTGTAAAATGATGAGGGATCCGTTCCACTGTCACTCAGGGAATATCAGATATGAGGACGTTGATCAATTCTACTGTTCTTCAGGGAAGATTGAATCAAGGTAGACTTATTCCGCTGTCTCTGAAGAGAATATCAAATCTGGAGGTGAGAGTTCTGTTCCGCTTCTTTCTGAAGGGAGTATCAGATCTAGGGGAATTGATCCATTGAATAGGGGCAGACTTGTTCCGCTTACTCTGAAGGGAAAATCAATTCTGGAGGTGAGAGTTTTGTTCCGCTTCTTTCTGAAGGGAGTATCAGATCTAGGGGAGTTGATCCATTGAATAGGGGCAGACTTGTTCTGCTTGCTCTGCTTGCTCTGAAGGGAATATAAAATCTTTGAAAAGAGAGACCTGTTCCACTTACTCTGAAGGGAATATCATATATGAAGGAGTTTGATCTATTGAATTGGAGCAGACTTGTTCCACTTACTCTGAAGGTAATATCAAATCTTGGAAAAGAGAGACATGTTCCACTTACTCTGAAGGGAATATCAGATCTTGGAGGAATTGATCCATCGAATCGGAGCAGACTTATTCCACTTACTCTGAAGGGAATATCAAATCTGGGGAAAGAGAGACCTGTCCCACTTACTTTGAAGGGAATATCAGATCTGAAGGAGTTTGATCCATTGAATTGGAGCAGACTTGTTGCACTTACTCTGAAGGGAATATCAAATCTTGGAGGAATTTGATCCATTGAATCATAGTAGATTTGCTTCACTTGTCTTTAAGATTGACAAATCTAAAAATAAACATTAAGTTGGTTAGATTGTGTTTGAAGATTTGAAAACATCATACCTGTAAGTTTCGGGGTAGTAATCTTTAGAAAGGATTTCTCTTGTGGGAGATCTTCTTGCCACCATCAAATATGGAAATTTGAAATACTTATTTTTATGTTGAATCCTTACATCTCTAATATCTCTTTTTAGAGAACCTGTAAGAACTTGTCACAACGATCATTATCATTCATTTCTATGTCATGATCCTATTTATGCCTATCATGTATGTAATGATTATTTTAAAAGTATTTTATTTTCATATGAGAATTTTCTTTTGTTGATGGCCTTGTACTTCAATCGGATTTGGGGCGCGAAAAAATCGACCGCAATTCATCCTGATTAACCATTCAAATTGGATACTCCTTGGTTCTTTTCAACCTTTGAGCCCAAGCATGACTAGCTATTTGACTAGCGATAATCTCTTGGATTATGTGTATCCCAAAGCTTTAACTTTCTACTACCCGACATTGCATAAGCTTCGTGCTAAAACTTTTTTCATCTTTAGAATACCTGTCTTTTCCAAAGCTTTTTGTACAATAATGCACAACGATCTCATGTTTCCAGAATTAATTTACATATTTTTATTGTTAATTAGGATGCTTGCAACATGAAAGAAATCATTTATTTATAAACAAAGAGTTTTTTGCAAGTACATGGCAATCTTTTAACTGAAACAATCAAAAGAGACCCCAGTAAATGTCTTCTACTATCAATAGTGCGAATGCTTTTGAACTGGCACACCGTAGAACAACTCAAATGTATCTTCTGTCAAAAGGAATTTCAGGATGATTACAATGCGCAAGGGTGTGAAATCCCCTTTGTACTATTAGATTCCCTTAATGTTGGATACCATTAATTTTTAGTCATCTAAGTCTTTTTGATTTCCAGTCCTAACCCTGACCATCATTAATTCAGAATCTCCACCATGCACGAATTCTGAATTCACAATTCTCAAGCCGCCTTTTGCGGGTTTTCAACTTGAGGCCTCATTTGGTTTCAAGACGCCCTTTACGGGTTTTCATCTTGAACCCTCCTTTTTATTTTTATATACTTTTTTCTTTCTTTTTTCTCTTCTCCTTATTCTTCTTTTTTTCCTTTTTTTCCTTTTTTTTCTTCAAGCAAAATATTTCTTGATTGCATCAGCATTCACAGGGTTAGGTAATTCTGGTCCATCAATCTCAGTGAGAATCAAAGCTCCACCAGAAAAGGCTTTCTTTATCACATAAGGTCCTTCCCAATTGGGCATTCATTTACCTCGAAAATCTTTCTAAATTCGCATAATCTTTCTTAGTACCAGATCTCCCTCCTGAAATTCTCGATGGCGAACCTTTTTGTTATGTGCCCTTATCATACGTTTTTGATACATTTTTCCATGACAGATAGATTTTAATCTTTTTTCCTCAATCAGATTCAGCTGGTCATATCTAGCTTGCATTCATTCTGCTTCATCTAGCTTAACCTCTGATAACACTCGAAGTGACAGAATCTCAACTTCGATGGGTAATACAGCCTCCATCCCATAGGCTAAGGAGAACGGAGTTGCCCCAGTTGACGTCCTTACTGAAATTTGATAAGCAAATAGAGTAAATGGCAACTTCTCGTGCCAATCTCTATAAGTTTCAGTCATTTTCTGTATGAGCCTTTTAATGTTCTTATTAGCTGTCTCTACCGCTCCATTCATCTTTGGGTGATAAGTGGTGGAATTATGATGTTTTATCTAGAACTGTTTACATACTGACCCCATCATCTTGTTGTTTAAATTCAAAGCATTGTCAGTAATAATCCTTTCTGGAAACCCATATCGACAGATAATTTCACTTTTCAAGAACTTGCAAACTGTTGACTGAGTAACATTCGCATAAGAGGCAGCTTCTACCCACTTGGTGAAGTAGTCTATTGCCATCAATATGAAGCGATGACCATTAGAAGCTTTGGGTGTAATTTTCCCAATAACATCCATGCCCCACATAGAGAACGGCCACGGAGCATTCATCACATGTAATGGATGAGGAGGGGTGTGGAGTTATCCCCGTAAATATGGCATTTATGACATTTTCTGGCATAATTGATACAATCAATTTCAAGGGTCAACCAATAATACCCAAATTTCATTATTTGTTTAGCCATTGTATGTCTGTTAGCATGGGTACCACATACTCCCTCATGCACTTATTCAATAATCATTCTCGCTTCTTTGGTATCTACACATCGTAACAAAACCTGATCATGACTTTTCTTGTACAAGACCTCGCCATCAAGCACATATCATGCAGCCAACCTCCGGATAGTTCTTCTGTCATTCTCAGTTGCATGCTTGGGGTAACTTTGACATTTAATGTATTGCAGGATGTCGTGATACCATGGATTCCCATCATCTTCCTCTTCTATGCTATAACAATGGGCTGGGTATTCATAGGCTTGCATCGTAATAGGTACCAAGCTCGAATGCTCATTGACTTTGAAAGCTGCTGCTAAAATGGCCAGAGTATCCGCCATCTGATTCTCTTCTTTGGGGAGATAATGGAATGTCACTTGCTCAAATTCTGGGATAAGCTCTAAGACTAATTTACGGTATTCCATCAACTTGGTATCTTTTGTTTCCCATTCACCTCTGAGTTGATAAATTACCAGGGCTGAATCCCCATACACTTTGAGTGTTTTTACTTTACGCTCAATGGCAGCTTCAAGACCCATAATACATGTTTCATACTCGGTCATATTATTCGTGCAATCAAAATTCAATATGTTGGTGAGAGGATAATGTTCTCCACCAGGCGAGACCAAAATTACTCCAATCCCGTGCCCCAAGGCATTCGATGCGCCATTGAAATTCATCTTCCAATACTCATCATTAGAAGAAACTGCCTCTTCAATCGTGATAGCCATCAAATTTTCATCCAGAAAATCAGAGTCTAAGGGTTCATACTCTTCAGAAGCCCTATTAGCGATGAAATCGACCACAACACTACCTTTAACTGCTTTTTAACTTACATACTGAATATCAAATTCAGATAATAAAATTTGCCAACGAGCCAATATTCCAGACAAAGCGGGTACCCCCATTAAATATTTTAAAGGGTCAAGTCTAGAGATCAACTAGGTAGTGTGATATAACATATATTGCCTGAGTCTTCGGGTAGTCCAAACTAAAGCACAACATAACTTTTCTATTGGTGAGTATCTTGTCTCGCAATCAGTGAACTTTTTGCTGAGGTAGTAGTTTTCTCTTTCTCTTTTCTCGGTTTGGTCATGCTGCCCTAGTACACACCCCATCGAATTCTCAAAAATTGACAAGTATAGGATTAACGGTTTGCCTGGTATTGGGGGTATTAGGACTGGAGCATTTGACAAATATCCTTTTATTACTTCGAAGGCTCCTTGACAGTCATCATTCTATACTCCTGGGTTATTTTTACGAAGAAGGCGAAAAATGGGATCGCACTTCTCAGTTAGTTGTGAAATAAATCGGGCGATGTAATTTAATCTTCCCATGAATCCCCAAACTTCTTTTTATATTTACGGGGGTGGTAAACCCTGAATAGCCTTGACTTTATCTGGGTCTACCTCAATGCATTTTTTGCTCACCATAAATCCTAGGAGATTCCTAGATATTACCCCGAAGGTACACTTGTTTGGATTGAGCTTTAACTGGGATTTCCTTAATCTTTGGAAGAGTTTCCTCAGATTCTCGATGTGTTCTTCCTCCGTTTTAGCCTTAACAATCATATCATCGACGTAGACCTCTATTTCTTTATGCATCATGTTGTGGAATAGTATTACTATGGCTCTCTGGTAGGTTGCCCATGCATTCTTTAGCCCAAATGGCATTACTTTGTAACAAAACGTGCCCCACATGGTGACAAACGTAGTCTTTTCCATATCATCCGGATGCATCTTGATTTGATTGTAACCCGAAAATCCATCCATAAATGAAAATAAGGTATTTTCACCAGTATTGTCTTCTAGGGTGTCTATGTGTGGTAGAGGGAAATTATTTTTTGGGTTGACTCGGTTAAGGTCTCTATAGTCGATACACATACAAACTTTCCCATCCTTCTTGGGTACTGGAACAATATTTGCCACCCATTCCAGATACTTGGCTACTTTCAAGAAGCCAACATCAAATTGTTTCTTTACTTCCTCCTTGATTTTTAGCAGCATTTCAGGACACATCCTTCTGAGTTTTTGCTGTACCGGTTTACATTCTGGCTTTATGGGCAATTTATGTTCCACTAACTCAGGGTCTAAACCTGACATGTCCTCATATGACCAAGCGAACACATCTCCGTATTCTTGAAGCAACTCAATCAAATTTTTTCGTCCTTCAGTAGATAGGATGGTGCTAATCTTTATCTCTTTTTTATCCGCCTTTGATCCCAGATTCAAGATTTCAACAAGCTCTTTATAGGCCACAATCTATTTATCTTCCCTCTCTACCATTTTCAGTAATTAAGAAGGTAAGTCACGTCCCTCGACATTATCATCACTCTTAACTTCCCCCTGACAGATAGGCCACTCAAAATCTATCTCCGGGTCAGAGTCATCAGCATTCATACTATTGATACCAGAAGTCATGAGAGGAAAACAATTGAAAGGATATATACATATAATAATACAGGATAACACTTATCATGTAACATCCTCCATACCGGGTTAGTGATCAAATTGTGAAATTATAAAATTTAGTTACCAAAGTAGATAAATTGAACAGTTGAAAGATTTAATTAGAATGTTTTGTGTAGGATCAATTAACAAAGAAGGAGGAACTAAAGGGGTAAATGAGTCTTTTAATAGGGGAAATAATTAAATATTAGATGAGGATATTTAAATCCACGTGGAAGGCAAATGAAGAGAACAAAAGTTTCCAGATTTCTCTTCTTCTTCACTTCTTCTTCTCCATCAAGAGACCAAGCTAAAGGTGAGTTTTCTTGTTGATTAAATTATTGATGAATTTAAGGTTTCTTATTGATCCTTAGTTGATAACTAAGCTTAAGGAAAGCTTAGATTATCTTAAAACCATAAGATGAGGAGAATATGAAGAATCAAAGAAAGGAAGTAGAAAAGTGAAATCTTGGATTAGAGTTCCTAATAAGAATTAGAAGTGGAATTTGACTTGTCATAAAGCTAACTAAGAAGTATTATGTGTTAGAATTCAAATTAGAACATGTTGGAATTTGGGTTAGATTCTTAAATTCTACATGGAGAATTGGATTTTTAAGTTTCAAAAGTATGGAATGGATAATAATTAGTTTAAGTAAGAGTATGCAAGTTAAGGATATATAAAGAGGGGAAATATAAAGTGTTAAGTAGACTAAGAAGATATTTTTGTGCTAAAATGACAATTCTGGGCAATGTGCATCGATGCACATTCATTGTGCACCGATGCATCGATGATAAATCCCAGAAATTATTTAAGGTGCATCGATGCACATGAAGTGCATCGATGCATTAATTTAAAAATAAAATATCAAATAGGATTTATGCATCAATGCATAAGGAGTGCATCGATGCATCCCCATTAAATACAAACATCGAATAGGATTTATGCATCGATTCATGGTGTAGTGCATCGATGCATACCTATATTAAAAGATGAAAATGACTTTTCTTTTAGCCTAAGAAATGATAGTTTAGAATATATTAATTAGTATACTGATAAGTATCAATGAATTACTATGTAGATATCGAGCCTAAACGAGTTCCGAAACCATCAACAAGTAGGATCAATCGAGGGAAAGACAAAGAAATCTAGGTAAGTGCATATGCATAGCATGAATATGTATTTTATTCAGTTCTAGACTTGTGATAAGTCTAGATTCAATATTTTGATACATGATAGTATTTCATATTATGATATATGACATGAATCCATACCATATGCATTATGGGACATGAATATGCAAGAAAAAGTTATATGAGTTATGTGATAAAGATATGAAAATAATATGTCTACGTGATACAAATAAGATACATTGTGAAAGCCCATGTTATGTAAATGAGAACTATAGTTATAGTTGGCATGCCAAGGGTAGAGGGTCTATGTGGTCCTTCGGGACATATATGTATTCTTTGGAACATGTGTGAGGTCTGGCGAGACACATACTTGATCCTTGGCATATGTATATGATTCTTAAGGAATGATATGTGGTCCTTCGAGACATATATGTATTCTTTGGAACATGTGTGAGGTCTGGTGAGACACATACTTGATCCTTGGCATATGTATATGATTCTTAAGGAATGATATGTGGTCTTATGGACATTATTATATGGCACTATGGTGCAATTCTACACGGCACTCCGATGCAATTCTACGTGGCACTTAGGTGCAATTATATGAGATGTGGTGACAACATAATGCACAACCTCACAATACTCACATACCTTAGGTTCTCTGTATGGTACCATGGGCTAATGAACTTACTAAGGCGAACTTATGAATGTGAATTTGATAAGTATATGTGTAAGAAACATGGTTCTGGTTATTACATTGTTTACATACATCTTATCATTGCAACCCATCTTATTTTGGCAATTACTTTATATTTATCGATATTATTATTATATTGCCTCACTAAGTCGATGACTTAGCGTGTAAGTATTTCACACGTATCACACGCAGGATCCGATAAAGTAGACGATCGAGGTTAAGCAGCTGGACACCATTACTCCTGCAACTATCAGATCAGAAGCAACTTAATCAATAGGTTATTTTGTTATGAAATTGGATGTTGGCATGTAACTAAAGAGTTAAGTTGTGTATGCTTTGAATATTTTGGTAAACTTATATTACCATATGTATATTATTGTATTTTTCATAATATAATTTCAAATATTTTGCTATTATTTGTAATGAGTTGTGTTTTAAAAGTTAATGTAATATCTCTGACTCGTATCCAGGTTAGATACGGGTTGGGGGTGTTACATTTAATGGTATCAGAGCTATGGTTTAGCCGATTCTAGGCATAAACCAGAGTCTATAGAGTCTTTAAATGGAATACATGCCAACAAATAGTGAGAACTTATGATCTGGTATAGTATGAGTATGCTGTTTTGCTAATAGAACAATGTGTTTATTCTTATTAGATGTCCGGACATAATAGCTCCCGAAGTGAAGCGGGAGAAGATAGGCCTGCTGAAAGCAGTAATTCACCTGCCCTGGCCAGGCAAGGTGAAGAACATGCATCTCAAGGAGTTCCTGTGCAAGATCAAGATATGTTCTTCAGAACGTTAGACGCTATTCTAACGCGTCTTCAACCTCCTGCTCCACCAACTCAACGGATGAATGTAGCAAAAGAGTTGAGAGGTTTAGGAGCTCCCGAATTTAAGGGAGAAACAGAAGAAGGTCCAGTTGCAACAGATCTTTGGTTAAATGATTTTAAGATCATGTTGGATGGTCTCCACTGTTCTGAAGTGGAGAAGTTAGATGGAACTGTCTCGTTGTTGAGGGGTTAGGCAAGAATATGGTGGACGAACGTCACCATGAGGATACCCAGTGACCAACAGATGAACCACTCTGTATATGAGTATGAATGTGAGTTCAACAAGTTGAGTAGGTTTGCATCCGAGCTTGTGCCTACTGAAAAAGAGGCTTGTGAATGGTTTGTGGAGGGTTTGCGCCCTAGATTGAAAGAGATGCTGATAGTATTGAATTTATCCTTGTTCTAAGAGGTGATCAATCGTGCCAAGGCTTTTGAAAGAGCTCAGAATGAGAGATTTAGGGATTTTAGAGTTCAGACATCAAAGAGAACGGATGCTTCTTCTAGCTCAGCACCATCAAAAAGGGGAAGAGACTCAGGATTTCGATCACAAGCTAGATCAGAATCAGTTGCATCGTCTACTAGGGGAGCAAGTCAGGCAAGACCTAGACAGTCGCAGTCAGTGGGATTTGGTGTTGGGAGATCTACTTCGAGTCAAGCGAGACAGTGTCAGCACTGTGGGAAAAACCATTCTGGGGCTTGTCGGATGGCTGTTGGGACTTGTTTTCGATGCGGAGATGCCAAACATTTTATCCGAGATTGTCCATTGATGGTTGGTGAGCCTGCACCATCTGAAAGAGTTGGTTCTTCCTCACAAAGAGGATGAGGAAGAGGCAGAGGAAGGAACCCGTCTGAATTCTCTGCTCAATCTGAAGTTCGGTCAACCGCACGGGTGTACCATCTAAAGACAAGTGAAGACCGTGATGACCCTGATATTATAGCAGGTACTTTTCAGCTGTACGATAAATTAGTATTGGTACTGATTAATTTGGGTTCTAATTATTCTTATATTACAAGTAAGTTAGTAAAGGAATTTAGGATTCCCTTAGAAGCTACGAGTAATGAGATTATAGTAACAACTCCTTTAGGCCATAGTGCTCGGGTGAATAAAGTCTGTAAGGGGTGTCCCATAAAGGTTCAGGGAACTGAATTCCCTGCTAATCTGATGGAATTACCCTTTGACGAGTTTTGAAGTGATTCTGGGAATGGATTGGTTGTTCCATTACTATGGAGATGTTAATTGCAGATTGAAAAAGGGTAACACTGAAAAGTCCAGAAAGAACAGAGATAAGTGTGAGCAGTGAAAAGTTTAATCCCTTAGCAAATGTAATGTCAGTAATGTCAGCTAAGAAGCTATTGCTACAAGGATGTCAAGGATTTCTTGCAAATGTGATAGATTTAAGAGCGATAGAGAAAGGGCTAGAGAAGATTCCAATAGTTCAAGAATTCCCTGAAGTTTTCCCGGCTGAGTTGCCAGGATTACCTCCAGATAGAGAGGTAGAATTTCAAATTGAAGTAATGCCAGGAACCGCTCCAATTGCAATGGCACCTTATCGGATGGCTCCGAAAGAATTGCAAGAGTTAAAGAATCAATTGGAAGAGTTGTTAGGAAAGGGATTTATTCGACCAAGTGTATCACCTTGGGGAGCTCCGGTGTTATTTGTTAAGAAGAAGGATTGATCAATGCGTCTCTGTATTGATTATCGACAGCTTAATAAGGTGACCATCAAGAACAAGTATCCCCTTCCGCGCATTGATGACTTATTTGATCAACTAAAAGGAGCTTCGGTATTTTCAAAGATCGATCTACGTTCGGGTTATCATCAATTGAAGATTCAGGGGAAAGATATTCCGAAGACGGCTTTCAGAACGAGATATGGTCATTATGAATTCATCGTAATGCCATTCGGAGTAACGAATGCACCAGCTGCTTTCATGGATCTCATGAACATGATTTTTCATCCCTATTTGGACTAGTTTGTTGTTGTCTTTATTGAT